GTCAACTTATCACGAGTATGATCTCGAACTTGGTTAGAAGTCTTGTTTGATTATGATCACATAAGTTTTCTTCAATTCTCAAATGTCTTAGTTCTTAAAGTAAACCAATTATACTATATTAGTGTACTCCTACTATAGCCATAGATTTTTTGAACGGACATTCATTGAAGTGCGGTGTGATAGCTCCTTTAGCATACAAGAAATGACATGTCCTATCTTAGTCATACACCTACCTCTATTAGATTTTTAGTGCACCCAACAAATTGCCTATATTCAATCCTTTACTTGGTTCAATTGAAACAAGTATCAAAGTACATAAATCTTCTAATGAGATAATCGTGATGACTTCGAAGCCTGAGGACTGCTTGTACCCATCTCGTATGAGATTCTCATAGACTAAACCAAATGGATTCTCATGGCAAGTCAAGTCTAGTAATATATTTTCTAACATAAATCACCTAAGTGCTTGCTTTAGTATCATCATGCTAATAGGTGTGAGATCTCTTACTACTATCATATAGCATAAGCATAGCACTTATAAGCCTAACCGCATATAGTCAATGTCCATTATTAATAATGTTATGACTTGGGATATTTAATGATATTATTTATGTGCTTTAATATTTATCTCACATCTTTCGATCAATCGCTAATGCAAATGCATATCATATAGACTTCTATCTAATTCTATTCAATCAATAAATGCAAATGACAAGAATTAATAGAAATACTTCTTTATAATAAATCATACAATGATACAATAACTTAAATCCATTCAAATATGATTGGATATTAGGCATCTACATTAATAAGTGGAGGTGGGGCAAATTTAATAGGTTTCTTCCATCCTTAACTTCGTATGATGATAACGAGGATTTAACGAACAATAGATAGTCGAAGAAGACGATCCTTGTTAGGCACTTACTAGTAATGTCATGTTTTCCACAAGGTCGGCTTATAATCCGATTAGTTCTTTTATAAGCATTCCAACGAAGAAATGGAAGCCGATTTGGCGAGTGGAAGGGCCCTCGAGGTATCCGTACTTCTCTATGGTTAACTTGTTCATGGACAGCTACTCACTAACATGCAAAGAGTGAGGAGTGGCTTAGCTACTAACTCTTTCTCGTTGTCGTGGAATTTAAGAAATGATGATCCATGTCTTACATGATTGTTCCGTGGCATCCCGGCTTTGGCAGGAGGTTGGGGAAAATAGTTTGATTAATGGTTTCTTCACAACGGATCTTAAGGATCTGGTATAGTTTAATATGAAACTAACCAAGTCGACACATGCTAGATCAATCTCTTGGAGTACTTGGTATAGAGTGTCTTGTTGGTTTTTATGGACCTACCGGAACAAAAGCATTTTTTATGATGGTTTTATAATACCTCACATTTCATTGACGAGTTATTCTCGCTTTTACTGAAAATGTTATGTCTAGTGTAAACATAGCCACCCTCTTATCCAAGTTGTCTCCTGCAAAAGTAGAAGCCTTGATTAGCTGGATCGGACCTCCTTCGAGGTGGACTAAACTTAACACGGATGGAGCTTTTAGAGAAGCGAGTGGTATTGTTATGGTGGCAATGTCCTTGGGATTCACAAGGTATTTGGTTGTATAACTTTTTTTTATCAAATTGAGATATGTTAAGTACTTGTGTGTAGAACTATAGGGCATACTAATTAGTTTGGAAATGACATAGAATTCGAGCTTTTGACAAATTTTGTTGGAATTTGACTCCTTGGTAGCGAGTATAGTTAATTCGAGATCTAGTTAGTCATCGAGGAAACTACGGACATATAGTCTCTTTCTCTGTAGCATCCTTTAGAGGCCACGGGGTCCGTATTGGTCACGCTTATAGAGAATTTAACCGTTTGGTGGATTAGCTTACTTTACATACTTACTCTCTTATGATAGGAATTTTTTATTTTGAGCATGCATTATTGGGGTGTATTAGCCTCATCTTGGAGGATATCTATGGTGTAGCCTCCCTAAGACTTTGTAACTCTCATCCTAATGCTTAGAGATCTTCTCTCCCTTGTATAAAAAAAAAACATGTGGTCGCCCTTAAACACTTGTCGCCATTTTGATAGTTAGATAAAAGAAAAAAAAATTTAAGCGGCCACGACTTTATTTTTGAACATCAAAGTCCGTGCATGATGGATCCAAATTGTTAACCCAATAAGCCTAATCAATTGTTCAAAAACCCATATGCCATTATTGATATCTAAGAGGAAAAATAACAAGTTCAACTACTTGTTGCCTCACATACCTCATCGACTAATAAACCAAGACAAAAATATTCTCTCGCTCAAACCATCTTTTAACATAACTTTATTATTTTTGATGTCTTTACCTCTGTCATATCCTCCTTTTCATTATATTATCATTCAACAAGTTAAAAAAATAGTTACAACTATCGGATAACATACACAAAAAACACGAAGCTAAAGCTTTCCCATCAACTTCCCACTATGACCATGCCACAATCAATATACTCATTTCTTGGAAAAGTCAATGAACCTAATGATTGTATGCATGCTAGGAAATACATAACCCCAATCCTAATACATTTTACTTTCCCTATGTAGTAGCTTCATAACGAGCTCTCTCTACACCATTTGTATAAAAACCAAAATTTCATGACTTAAAACAAAAAAAGAGCACATGCCATCGACTAACTAAAATATATTGTTTTCATTAAACGACTACTCTTGCAATAATCATGCTCTTTCTTTAGATGCAACCTTCATCACCACCAAAAAACATTACTATTTTTTTCCTCTTTCCATCAAACGTATTGAAAACCTTATATTCAAAAATCTAGTTTCTTCCTCTTACAAACCATGGATGAAGTGCTTTCAAGTAATTTGAACAAAATAATAATTGAGCACCTACTATAACCACCAATCGACGATCTAGAGGTTACCACTTTAAACCACTAGATGATTTATACATAATAGAAAATGTATATTCATTCACACTTATCATTTTTTATATTGCATGCACCTTAATCATTAACTAGTTAGATGAGTAGAACTTGTCCTACCCTTCGATCATGGTTAAGTATCTGCTATGTATATGGTCCTCAATTTTATCATGGTAAATTTGTCACTGCTCTGTTTTGTGTTATGGAAAGTTCCTCTATGTTATCTCTTTACAAGTGCTGAAATTGATTACCATCTTCATTTTCTTCTTCTTTTTCGTGGTGGGGCCAGGAGTGTTGCTCATTAGGTAAACATTGATAATTTTTAGCCCTCGCACTCTATCATAAATGACTTAGTTTACGGTCGATGAATGCTTGCTAAAACATTGGTTGGATAACCAAAAACTCAACCAAGAAATTCAACCAACAAACTATCTCTTTCTTGTAAATCATTGTCACGGTAACTCGACCCAATCAAACGAGACTTAGTTATCTATTGCAACAACTTTTAAAATACAAACTTTGTTGTAGCTCGATTCCTATAAATGAAACCAATATTGAAACCCATTGAGTTCCAATCATTGTTGATATATATATATATATATATATATATATATATGCGTGTGTGTGCGCGCGCATGCTTATACGTCTCTAGATGCTTTGTTCTTTTTTCATTCCTTATATCATATCTACACATTATACAACATAATTTTACTATAATTAAAGTATTATTTCTTGAGTTTCTTCGACATAGCGTAACACTTACATAATAAAAGTTGTTGTCACTAATATAGATGCAACACATGGTTGGTGGTATTTAGGATATCCTAAATGCCATAAATATCTCAAGGAAAACGGATGCAACTTCACGTCTCTATTGCATGGAGTAGTTACTACCGAGCCTATACCACGGTACACACTTTAAATGACTCATCTTCCTTTTTATTCCCATCGACACTTCGAAAAAAAATTATCCAACGCTTAACTAGTTAATAAACACATCTTAATCCATTCAAATTTATTTTGTTTCGGGTACCATATGACTCGTTTAATCAACGATGGCACCACTAAAGCGAGAGTGCTTCTTGCTAGAACCCTAGTCTGTAAATTTATTATCGTTCATACATTTTATTACGCATCCAAGAAAAAAATATCACATCCTTATTTCCTACAATTCAAGGACCTCCATATCGCATGAAAAGAAAAAAAAAAAAAAACCCCCCATAAACATTTAATTGCTTCTTTGCTTCAACAAAATGCACCTTCGCCACTGCACATTGTTTAGTACGAAGAAAAATAACATCAAACTAATTATTTCCCATCCACTCTGTACAAACACGTGCATCCATTTCACGATGTAACACGAGTGCAAATCTAGTTATTCACTATATGACAACTACTTCCACCATTATTTCTATCATTGTCCCATCATGGTAATCAATAATAATAATGATATATTTTGTAAAATTATTACCATATTATCATTATTACAATTACAATTATTATTATTATTATCACTACTGACCATCATAATCGCTAATGGTTACAATAATTTTAAAATACATATTATTATTATTATTATATTATTATAATTACTATCATCTCTTTTTTATCTAGTACCACCATTATCACTATCGAGTTCATCACAATCAATCATATTATTATTATTACCTCTATCTACTTGTATAGAATTATTTTTTATTAATAATTTTTTAATCTTAAAAAATAGATATTAAAGTTTTTATATTTCGTTTCAATTATTTGCTACTATTCCAAAATACAACATTGTAATTAAAATGTCATTTTAATTCCTTCATTTTCACTACATAATTGGAAAAAATGATTAAATATATGCAGCTGTAGAAACAACAATGATTCATTGATTAGTTTTATAAAACAAGAGGGACTAAGTTATCACTTAGTCGTTCGTAGGTAATTCGTTTTAGGAAAAAAGAAACGTTTCGCTTCTATTACCGTGAACAAGACAAGAGAGATCAAGCAAAGCATGGGGCAGTAGGAAAGGACTTAAAAAAGAGTGCAGAAGGATTAGATCCTAAATCGAAGAAAAAAGGGAAGAAATGGGGTGGGGATTGGGGATATTTGAAGGAATAGTGGTGGTAGGATCGCTGTGCCTATTAGGATGGGCAGGTCTTTGGTTCTTGAACAGAAGACTTTACAAAGAATACGAGGAGAAAAGAGCATTAGTTCAGATCATTTTCAGTGTCGTTTTTGCTTTCTCTTGCAATCTTCTCCAACTTGTCCTCTTCGAAATCATCCCTCTTCTCTCCAAACAGTAAGTAACTACTAGCAATCTTTTATTATTTCTATCTATTTACTGAAAATAATAATATTATTATTTATTATTATTATTATTTTTTTTTTGGTTTTTTTCTGGGGTAAAATTGTAGGGCAAGATGGATAAATTGGAAGGTGGATCTTTTTTGTCTAATATTGTTACTTGTCTTCATGTTGCCGTACTATCATTGCTACTTGATGCTCTGCAACAATGGTATGTTTGTTAATTCTTTATGGTATGTCATTGGCTTAAAGAAACCAGATCAATTTCTGTTGATATTATAATATTTTCAGGTGTAAGGAAGGAAAGGGCTGCACTTGGAGCCATCGTTTTCTTGTTAGCGTTTCTCTATGGTTTTTGGCGTATGGGCGTTCACTTCCCTATGCCTTCACCTGATAAAGGTTCTTGTTTCTTTGTTTCAGTTCCCTTATATCATGCCAATTTCCCATGACTTGTCATCCATACGATGAAATTGCAAATGCAAATAATTATAATGCATAATCTTAAATTATCATTTTGATTCTATTTATGTAATTATATCCACCATAAACCAAACACTCAGACATGTTTGAGTGAGTATGTTTGAGCGAGATTCTCCTTAGAGTAGAGGAAAATAAATGATGTATGAGTGAGTATGTTTAAGCGAGATTCTCCTTAGAATAGAGGAAAATAAATGATGTAAATGAAGAGGTTTGATGATATTGGTAATATTTTAGCATAACCTCCCCATCACATATAAGTTTGTTCTGACTTTGCAATGATGAATCTATTGCCAGTCACACTTACTATGTGGAAATTGTTTTCCATTTAGATGGGGTGTCTTTGAATTCTCAATTCTGCATTGAAGACTAAAGAGGCTTTTGCATTCATTTCCTAATAGCCAGGAAGTCACTATGGCTACAGAGCTTACACTAAGGTTTAGTCCAAATGAGAACCCTAGTTTTCTTTTGGCTCCATAATTTCCTTTCTCCTATTGGTCCAAAGATGGTGTGTTTTGATGTTTAATACTTATCTAGAATTCTCTCTCTACATGCTATATATACTACTGTGAACCATGTAGGCTGTAGCTTAAATGAGGGAAAGTAAAGGTAGTTTTACCCGACTTTCTGCTTATTTCCCAACATCTTCCTTACTTTCTTTCTCCTTTACCTTGTTGTTAGTCTAAGAATTTACTTATTGATTTGGTGGTTCAGAAACTTATGTACATTTTTGGCTGTTTCTATGCTTCATAATTTTATCTCCAGGTTTCTTCACAATGCCTCAACTAGTAAGCAGAATTGGTGTTATTGGTGTAACTGTCATGGCTGTTTTATCTGGTTTTGGAGCTGTGAATTTACCATACAGTTATTTATCTCTCTTCATTAGGTAATCAAATCAAACAATATTGGTCAAGGTTTCTTTCTAAATGATTTTTCTACCATGTGTGTGTCTGTGTGTTAACACTGCTTTTTATCTTGAACCAAGTGTATCCTATGTATGTTTTTCTAACCAATTTGCTGATAAACTGCCTAGTTGCTTGTGCAAAGAATTGGCTTTGGCTCAAATTATTCTGCCTACTAGCAGTTCTGTTCTTATATAGCCAACTTTTTATGCGTATGACATTGCAACTTTCTTTGGATAGGCAATAATGTTGGAAGTACATATGTACTACATAGCTTTGTTAGAGCATGTTAAGGTGCCAGGTTATTCTACAATATGTCTTTTAATATCATTATAGAGTCATCTGTTTTGACAAAGTGAGTGAACGTGATTATGATTTGCAAACAAATCTGTGAAAGTCATATAGCATTACCTATTTTTTCCTTATGCAAGAATAACTGAACCCTTCACCTATAGGATCTAACATGATTCATGAACCAGCGTAGTCAGATATACTGCAGGATGAGAGAGTATGCCAGCGGTTAGGTTGAACATAAGATGAGACCAAAGAGTGGGTTCAACGTTGAAGAAAAATGTCGACATATGATCTCCTCTGGACAAGAAATGTGGATGAAAATCAGAAATGGCAAAAGAGGATGTGTATTTTGTGTAAAATTGTCAGTAGAGAATAGGTCCAATGGGTTATCTGTAGTATTATTTTAAAGCTTCCTCACTTCCTATGGTTGGGCTTGTGTCTTAGTTTTTCTTAACATCACCAATTTCAGGTTCATTATGGGTAAGAGTGGGTAGGTTGGAATTTGTTACAAACTAGTAAACCAGAAGTGGTTGAAGCAAATTTTGCTTGAATTGATTGGGCAAAGTATCTATCATACTTCATACAGTATGTGAATGGTTTTCAGTATGTACTAATTCCAGATTTGCCTTCCCATGCTCGCTAATATTTCAGAAGTGTCGAAATTACACTTGAGTTTGCTATATTGTTTATAGATTGCTATCTTTTAAATGAGTACTACATATTATCGTATGACATATAAAGGGTTTTTTAGCCAAGTTGTTTGCTTCCCCTCTACCAAACTAGAAATTAGATATTTCATGGCTTTGTCTACAAGCTTTGTCATGTAGTTTTGATGCTTGACTGGCTAGATTTTGTAATAGATTTATGGAGCTAAATTTATTCAGATTCTTTCACTACGTCCATTTATTGTTCAATTATGTAACTGATGGTTTTTGGTTTTAATAACTGTATATGTTGAACATGGTAGAGAAATTGAGGAATCCGAGATCAAAGCCTTGGAAAGACAATTAATGCAATCCATTGAGACTTGTATTGCAAAGAAGAAGAAGATTGTCCTTTCTCAAATGGAGATGGAACGAATTCAGGGATCAGAGGAGGTTCCTTGTCTTGCTATTTTTCTTTCTTGTGCATTGTCATTGTAGTGTCTCTGTTTTCAGAAAATGTTGGATATCAGGCCTTAAAAAAGTTAATATGCTTTGATTAGAATTGATCTTTATTGTTTTTTTTTTTTTTCAAATTCAATTTGCAATTTACACTCTGCTCCTCAATGCCTTGAAGTCATCAAAGCATCTATTGCCTGGGGAGACATTGTGCTTGAAATATACAAGTTTTATCATATATCATTAATGCTTCATGAAGTAAATCTGTAAAGAAAATAAGGAAAAAGTATCTCATTTTGAAAGATTCGGACTGCAGCAACCAACACATATTGCACAAATATTTACTCCTTGTATATATAAATCTAAAGTTAGGCTAGATAAACACACTTAAAAGAGATAAAACTAGAAGCATGGGTTAATTTATGTTAATTAGAAACAAATGTATTATTAAGTAGAGCTTAGCAATTTGAGTGTGTATAGAAAGGCATTATAATGCATGAAAAACAAAAGGAGAGAAAAAAGAAGAACATAATTTTGATATGTATATCAAACAAATAGGTAATGCTGGGGGCAGAATCGGGTGGTTTGTCACAGCACTTGGTGGTCGTTGAGAAAAATGTAGCATGGTTTAAATGACTTTAAAACATTTCCTCACTTCCAGAAGATGTTAAATATGAGTATCATTAATTGGTACCAACCTACAAACTAGGAAATTCTTTTGATACAAATCTTTATTGGGACATGCCTAGCATCATGTTTTATTTACACAAATTTTTCCCCTTTTGTTAAATACTTCAGACCTAATACTTTACAGATTACAGTTTTTATGGCTTACAATCTTTTGAAATCCTAGTACATATACATTTCTCAGTCAAGGTTGTACATTGCAGAAGTTAAATGCTAGATCTTTCTTCAAACGGATAGTTGGCACGGTTGTACGATCTGTGCAAGATGATCAAAAGGAGCAAGGTTACAGTTGTTTTACCTTTTTTGGCCATGATAATTTTATTTGATATGTTTTTCTTAGGTAAATACCATAATGAAAAGATACGTGGTTTTCCACAGGCTCTAAGTGTTTTTGCCCACTACTTTGTATTTGACTTTCAGTAGTTAGCAAATTTGTACCCATTTGCAATCTCATGATGTTTCTTTAATTGTGTTATTAGTTGCAGTTATCATCTAGATTTCATGTACAAGGTGTTCCAATTGTAAGTAAATGTAATCTTTGTGAATTGGTGATGAAGATTTTGATCAACAAGGTTGCTCAAGTTCCTTAGTAATTCTTGTATTAAAAATTGTCATACCTTTTCTGCTTGTGTGTGGTTGTGCACACATTTTTTTCTCCCCAACATAGCTTTTGGAACATGACTTTTGTCATTGTTATTAGCCATACTCTTTAAGCTCCACTTGTAGCTTGGAGTTGGAGCTTAGGAAAGGGAAATATATTAAAATGAAGCTCAGAATAAAAAGTAAAGGATGACAGTGAGAATTTGGCCTTTTATGGTAACCCTGGTGGGGTAGTTTTAACTACAAGGATCTTAACTTGAGCACATCTACTGCCGCCACCCCCACCCCCACCATACAGCTGCCGTTGCTGGGTTCTATCCTATAATTACCACTTCCATAATCTAAAACTTCCCTTTTGAAAATCCCCCAACCAGCATGACCACCACCAACATACCACCAATGCTACTACAATCCAGGCTATGTATCAAACATAGTGATTGCCTTTCATTAATTATTCTTATTAGTCCCATTCTGTATCCTTGTTTCTGTTTCCGTTTCCATTTTTTCATCCCTGTTCCCTGTTTTTTCATTCCAGTTAAAATAGACTCTTGGAATTTTTTGGAATTTTAAGTATTGTAATGCGTTTTGTTTGCCATCCACTATATAATCATTCAACTTTTAGTTTGTCACCAAGCTCCTTATGATGTAAATGTTCTTCTTTTTTTTTTTCCCCCAGATATTAAAACCATGGAAGCAGAGGTTCAAGCTTTAGAAGAGCTTTCAAAGCAGCTATTTTTGGAAATATATGAGCTTCGCCAAGCTAAGGTTTATTTCTAATATGTGCTCTTGGATTATAGCAAATCCACTTAATTCTTAATTTCTTTCTAGCTCTTGGATATAACATTTTGTTATTTAATATGCGGGAGAGTTATGAGATGGAGTTTCAGAAGGCCATGGCCCTTGTTGAGAGTACATAGATGACATGCTAATGTGTAACAGGTCAAATGGTGGCTTTTGGATATCTCGATTGAGGTTTATTAGACTTGTAAGAGGTCAAACTTTAGAAGTAATGAAAATATGCCCTTGCACAGCTGAATTAGGGTGTTCTGTTTCTTTGATTTTTTCTTTCTTTTTTTTTTTTTTTTTTTTTTGGGTCTGAATTTGAAGACTGGAGAGAAAGAGTGCAGACACGTTCAGAGATAAGAGTTTGGTCACTTGGAGAGGGAGTTTTATATGTGTCTCAATGCAGGGGTATTTATATGACTAGGTGGGCGTGTTAGTTATCTCCATTTTTTTCTTAGAAAAATAAGAACAAAATAATTTATGCGCATGTTTTCTGTAATCTATGCATTTCTCTATAATTTCTTTCTTTTTTTTTTTTTTTTTTTTTTTTTTGCCTCTTTGAAGAACCAGTTTTTCATATTTGCGCTTCCTTAACTTTGCAGAAGGCAGCTGCTTTTTCTCGAACTTGGAGGGGTCACATGCAGAATTTACTTGGCTATGCATGTTCTGTCTATTGTGTGTACAAAATGATTAAGGTATGGTTAAAACCATATTCTGATGGAAGCATGAGGATCTTCATGATTTTCATGCACACTGATTTGTATTCCAGTGTGGCAATAAAATTTGCTTCATGTGGTGGTATTCAGCTTCTATTTTGTTTCCCCCTCAGAATACATTCCAAATGCATAGTAAATCCCTTGCTTCTCTTAATGTTCAAGTCTTGAGGGTTAAGGTCGATTAAAATTGTTTTGGATAAGTGTTTTGATTCCTGGTTTTGATTTTTTGATGGGTTGATTTCCGAGAATAGATAGATTTATGAGAAAAGTATATATAAATATTGATCGGTGCTTGAACTAAATCCCAAAGTGCGGCACCAATTAGGTTTTCTTTTTCTTTTTTAATCCACAAACAAGTTTTTGTTACCTGTAAGATTTGTCTATTTAACAAGGATCCTGACATTTAAGATTTCTCTTCCTTGAAAAAAATGACTCTTTGCAGTGTATTAAACTGAATTTCATACTTACCAACAAAATTCAGTTGACATTTTTGTTGATTGCAAACTGCTGGTATTATTGACATAACGAGTTTTCCTTATTGCCAAATTTGTTTTCACGTCTGTCAATTTCAGAACCCCAAGCATCAACCAATAGTCGGACATCAAATCTATAAATTATGTCTGTTTTTTATATCAATTCTTCTTTTAGTTGACATGTGATTAGTTTGATTTATCATTTTTAGACTTTTAAATCAATCCAATTCTTATTTTAATGAAATTATCAGTTATTGTTTTGAATTATTAATCAAATCTTGTACCCATTTAATGAAGAATATCAGCCAACTGAATTTTTGATTTTACACAATGTTCAAGAAGTACATTATGGAGATCTGATTTTTAATTGCTCTTTGATCTTTGTGAGTTGAATGAATTCCAATGATGGGTTTGGAGTGCCAAGTCCATAATCATTTACTGAATTTGTGGATTAGCAACTAATCAAAATCCTGCAATAATGTCATTAAATTCAGAATATGGTCAAGTGGCATCATCTTTAGAGAGTTGCTTTCGTGATGTTCTACTTTTTCCCATATGAGATGGAATTGTGTTCTTTGTGATATGAATGAGAGATTAGGGAAGTCTGTCACTTAATGTTAAATAACTAAGTTTTACCTCCTTTAACTGAAGAAAATAATTGATCTGTGTTTAAATTACAGCCTGCCATTTTAGTCAACGCAATAATTTTGCTTATAATTTCTTTTACTGTTTTCAATTTTCCTTGACAATGAAACGAACATTTTTAGTTGTCTGTTAATATACTTTTCATTTTCTAATTTCAATCCAATGCAAATGCATGAATAACGTAAGGTGACTGATTACCTCTATGTGCTTGGTGCAGTCTTTGCAAAGTGTTATTTTCAAGGAGGTAAATTCCTGCTTCTCAATGATTCCTTCTATTGACATGCTCAGCTTTGAAATTCAAAATATGATTTCAAATCCCTAAATCATTTGGCATTAACTTTTTATGTAAATCTTAAATAATATTCTGTTTTTACAGGCTGGCTCAGTTGATCCTGTGACAAGGACTATCAGCATATTTTTGCAGTTTTTTGACATAGGAATTAATGCTGCATTATTATCACAGGTTGGTTATAAATGTTGCTTGCAATGGCAAATATGTTAGCACTTGCATGTTACTCTCACTATTCAAGCTCCCAGCAATAGCATGTGTTTTTTATGGCCTGCTACCTTTTGTAATGGTAAAAGATTATCATTGTATTTTGTTATGTTTTGTACAATCCCTTGTTCTGTCTCTAACTTAATAAATATAGTAACATAAGTAAAATCCCAACAAGACAGTCAACAGTTGGGTCTGTTGTGGCTTGTGATGCATTGCCAAAAAGGTCTCGAGTTTTATGGTAGGATGTTAGGCACTTTAAAACGTGTCTTTCTGCTGGAGCTAACTGAAGTGAGAATGATAAGGCAAACCTTAAATGATGTTGACAAAGTGCGGCAATACAAGACAATAGTTTAAAGCAACTTGCTTGGTTTTAAAATGATGAGAATTGGTTTGATTATTCGTGCCTTCCACATAATAAATGGTTTGCTAACGGTGGATGCTTTAGATTATATGAGAAAGCTATATACATTTGATATGAATATTGCTTGACACTCAACTAAAGTTAGGCATGCAATTACTTGCATTTGTACTCTGTTTACAAGAAAGGAGAGATCCTGTTGCCAGTATTAAAGTGTTAAAAGTTGTATCTTTGCATTCAGTCTTTAGATTTTCTTCTGAAACATATTCCTGTGGAAAGAATTGTATGAAGTATTGCATGGCTGAAGCTGTTGTCTTACATATTTTTATGGTGTACAGTACATTTCCCTGTTATTCATTGGAATCTTGGTCGTTATATCGGTTCGAGGATTTTTAACAAATCTTATGAAGGTAAATTTGCTTTCCATTTCCTTTTTGTTAATTTGTTCATTAGATATTTATCTTGTCTTATTTGCTAGTCATGACTGATTTTAATAAGACAGGAACTCTTTGAAGGGGGAAATCTACAAGGCTCTGCATTTTGTTTTTTCTTTCCCTTGTTTTATTACTGGATAAGTGCATAAATATTGGACAACTAAGAACTTCTGAAAGAGGGACAGATTTGAGTCCGTACCTTATGGATTACTTAATTTATGATGGCTTTAATTAGTCAAGGCGAGTGCTGAATTCATATTGCAAGATGCTCGCTAAACTCTACGAGAGTTGATAATGTTAATGATTAGCACCTAGACTGGTTGCCCTCACCAGATCAAATAAATGCACAATCCTAAAGTAGTGGAGTCTTTGACATGACTGCTACAGATGCATGCATAGAATTTTTCTCAACTAACTATAGTATAAATCTGTTGAAGTTGATGGTTCTATAGATGGCAAGTAAGAAGTAGCGTATCTTAATAATTAATATATTGTGTTTGGCTATATGCAGTTCTTCTTTGCCGTTTCCAGAGTTGGGAGTGGATCTTCAAGCAACGTTGTACTTTTTTTGTCTGAAATTATGGGAATGTACTTTGTTTCTTCTATTCTTTTGATAAGGAAAAGCTTAGCAACTGAGTACAGGTATGGTAGTTATTGATGCAAGGTCAAATAACTGATTCTGCACATTAGTTTTTGTTAACTATCTATTAGTAATTGTCTATCCAAGTTTCTGTGATTGCTTTAAACATGCTATTAATTTTAGCTTTCTGGTGGACGCCCTTGCATTAGAACCAGAAAATGTTTCAATCCCTATTGTCGTAAAAAACAATAACTTTCTCAGTGTGGGAAAGTTGTCAAAATTGCAGTTGGATCACAATTTCCCTGCAGTTAGAAGAATTTTACATTGCATGATCAGTTGCTTAACAGGACGCTTGTCTCTAGCATTGTTCCCCTCCTTGTGCATATCTGTGAATGAAACTGTTGAGATCAAGTTGAGGACCCAATTTGTTAAAAACTGAAATGTCTTTAGTTTATCTAAATGCATCTTAAATGTGGTTGAATAAATTGTCTTGCATTGCCAATATATGCAATCTTGAAATCCCCAAATATTTCTTGATGGCTCATAGCCTCATAGCTCAACTGAGGGATAGTATCTGTTGCAAAAGCTTTGGGAAGTCCTTGTGTGGAAACATTTCATTTTCAGGAAAAAGAAGGAAGACTAGGACTGTTACTGAAATAAGACCACATGCACTACATATTGAATTATTTATCAACAATGACATAATTACAAACATGGAGTTACCAGACTAGAATGTCAACCTGATTCTTACAATGTGCAGGTCTTTCCTTCATTTACCAGAAAATAAAAGTATTGTTTTAATTAGCACAATATTGATGTGTATGCGGATTTGCTTCTTTCAGTTTACCACAAATTTTGCACTGTGAATTGTTATGCTCTGCACGTAACCATAGATAATCTATGACATTGCTTTAAATCGGATGATTGAAACCTTTTAGTTTCTGAAAATCTCCCCCAACCAATCTTCTTTTCTTAAACAAAGCAACTACGCAAATGCAAAGCTATAAGATTTCAAGAATACATATTAGTTTGTGGCTATTTGTTACTTATTCTTTGCTTAACTGGACTGCTGTCAAAGTATTATTGATTTTGTTTGAACTGGTGTCTGTTGGCAGGATAATCATAACCGATGTCTTGGGTGGAGAAATTCAGTTCGACTTTTATCACCGGTGGTTTGATGCAATCTTTGTAGCAAGTGCTTTCCTTTCTTTGCTTTTGCTTTCTGCACATTACACATCTCGCCAGGCTGATAAGCACCCAATTGATTGATGTATACTTTGTGTAAGTATGTGCTAAATGAATCATTTCTTTTATTATCCCACGTTATACATCTTGTCTCCCCGTGACAGCATGGTGGAGACACATCTCATCAAGCTTATAAAAACTTGAATGTATATGAAGCTAGAAAACTACAAATTTGATGGTAGAGACATTTATGAAGCTATAAGTAGTGTAATAATCACTTATACACAAACCATTCTTGGTGCCACTTGGATTATGTAGTAGACTTGCCATGAGAAGAGTTTGAAAAATGCCAAAATGCATGAGACAAATTAAATTGTTTTCTGTCATCTCATGTTTAAGGAAAGAGTGTTGTCTTTCTTCCCTCCCCATCACTAGCCCTCACCTAACATCACCTGAAAAGCGCGTATTGTTGGTTCGAACACTCTTGTGCTTCTTGCTTATGCAGTAACCTCGTCATCATTGTGGATCATCAGTTATTTTTTGATTTTACAGGATTTTTCTTTATATGGATTTGGTAGTGATTCTTTTCATCAAGCCTAAAATCTTCTCCATTTTCTTGCTTCAGGGGCAGGGGGTCGTTAGTCAAATGTTAGGCGGGGAATAATTTCTTCATGCAGAATGCTGCATCAGCAGACCACTTATTTTGCTGTTATATGTTTGTCATGCAGGAAGCTTCCTTATAAGATGATGACTACAATCCAAAACTAGGTACCCACTTTTTCAGACTCCTATCATTTGATTTCCTCTTCCATCACGTTAAACTAAATTGGTCCACCTTTTCATGTTTATACTGTTCTAATTAAAAGTTGTTTCTGAACAACATCTAGCTTCTAGCTGACTGCAAACTTATTAGGATATGCTCTGGCTTTATCATAAGCACACTAGCCTTCCATATCTCATTTATTCTTGAGGATTACAAAATTGAAAAAGCTAAAACTACTTGAGGAACAGAGTTGAGCTCTGTTTTGCAATTCGTTTGAATTGTTTGGTCATGTGAGTTTTGCCTGAATGAGTGAGTGAATCTGGATAGATTAGAGGTGAAATGAGTCAAACTGAACTCAGACTCTCATTGCTATGTGAAAATATTTTACCGCATTGCCAATTTTATCATCATAAATGGGTTTTTACCATACCATTGGTTATTCAAAGTCGCAAAGGTTAGATGAGTTATCTAGCTGATTTATAATCACATTCCGACCATTTTTTTGGTTTCATTCCGACCATGCTAACCAAGGGATATTAATAATAGTTTTACAATCTCTGTGTTGGACCTACAGGCCCAAAATGCAAGACTAGCTAAAACTGTGCTTTAATTAGTTTTGTAGGATATTTGTTTCTGACAGAGGTTACAGTGTCAGATACGAAGGTCCACAGTGGGATCATCTTTGATGTCTAGACGCAAGCAGTTTTGCATGAAGGCGCTATAAAAGTTTATGATGTTCAATTTTCAATGACATCTATAGATCAAGTGGAGTAAATTGATGGTGTAGTGGCTAGCATGCAAGATTCTACATTAAATTTTGGGTTTGTATGCATACTGCATTTTGGCATGTCAAGATGATATTGGCTGCTAGATATTCTACGGGTAGCGGGTTACTGTGGCAGATTCCACTTTGATAGCTGTATTGCTAAAGGGCATAAAATGTGACTGAAAAAAAGGATTGGAGCCATGTAGATCACCCCAGCCAAGGACGTTACTTAGATTCTGCATTAGCTATGCACCACAACTTGTCTAATTAGAAATTAAAAAAAAATATGCGTTAAAATGTATCAAAAGAGAATGGCAACAGGATGTCACCAGTGGAGTGCTATCTCTCTTATTCACCTATTTTGGTTTCTTCTTCTGATAGTAATTAGTTGTGTGCAGTGTTTTCTTCTGTTTTTATATTAGTATTTTTTTGATGACTGAAAAATGTTTTAAGTTGTAGTTAAATGGGTGAAAACCACCTTGTGCCCTTGTACTATCCAGTATTTATTTAAACCCTTCTATCTAGGTATTATACAAAACAAACTCTGTACTACTCAAAGTTGCAACAAACCAATCTTTCCATCCATTTACGTTAACCACGTATCGTCATATGATTGGTCAAATGTTGGATGAGAGCTGGTTTGTCCTAACTTTGAGTAGTCTAGAATTTGTTTTGTAGAATACTTGGATATAGGAATTACAGTAAACGAGAAATTAAAATGAATAGTATTGTACATTACAAGGGGATAGGGTGCATTTCACCTGTAGTTAAATGGCATTATTTCATTCTGTAGAGAGAAATGCTGAGATTGCTCTAATGTCTACCTCTTTTGAAATGTTTTGACCATCTTCCCTAGGGTCACTGCATCTTGCCTGGTTAAAAATATTTGTATCATTTCCCCTGCTTTTACTACTCCAAGGAAGACTAGGAGAGTAATTGTTTACAGCTTGTTGCACAGGTTAAAAAGATTGTAACACACTCGAGACAGATTTTTTTCACAAGGTCAACACCAGCAACTCGCTTACCTCTCTAGGATTTTGGTATGCCAATATTTTTTTTTCTTTTTTTTTTTTTTTTTTTGTGTGCATATATTCATTTGTAATGGAAACCAACATGGAAAGTCTACTTTATGAATGACGGTGTTCATGTAAAGTCTGATTATTATTATTATTCCATAAACGAAAATGACACCTTGTGGCTAAACTATAGGGGTCGCTGCCAATCTTGAGCCACTGTGTTTACCTTTTCCACTTGGGATAAATGATAGTGGTGGCCGTTAATGTTGAGCCACTGCTTTACCTTTTCGGGCTTGTAGACAGTGGTGACTGCTGCCGATCTTGAACTTCAGCTCCAGCTTTTGCCACTGCTTACCTCTTCAGCAACTTAGGACTAAATGGACCGACCATTCCATTATACTGACAGCAAAACTGATGTACATTTGTTGCTAAAACCAAATAAATGAGGTGTGGTGTGGCACTGTCGTGGCATCTGATACCTACTTTGAAAAAGCCTGGTAGGGATAGCAGAATGGCAAAAACCATTAAAAAGCAAAAGAGCATCAAAACTGTCCGATCAGAATTGGGAGTGAAAGTTACGCAGCCAATCATTATATCCTCATCAACCCTCAAAATAGATTTAATTTTCTTTTTCAGTGGGAAAGAAGAAAAAAGCGAAAAAAAAAAAAACGATTCTCCTATCAGTAAGCGTCAGCCATCCTGATAAATCCTACTGCAAATGGGATGGTAAGAGTTCGAGGCAGGAAATTGAAATTCTCACAAGCAGACAGTGCAAATATTGGAAGGGCACCTTTATTTCCAATAGCAGTAACGATGCTAGATGTATTTTGAACGCTACACTTACCCAAAACAGTTTCAAACAAACATTTTATGGATGGCTGGAGAACTTCTATGACATCAGCATCCTACAGAAAGGACCATACTCTTTGTGGTGAGGGAAAGAGTCTAAGAAGCAAACCTGAAAATATTAGGCAGCAGGCCAATGTATTTACATAAAAAAAATATAAGATTATCAGAATTGAGAATAATTAGCACAACATTGGTTTTGGCACATCATTGATCTGCCAAAACTCAAGGTCAATTAGAATAAGGGGTTTCTCCATATGTGAACCATGTACTTTTCCAAATTTTGTTAATTTACTTTATTCTTCGAGATTTTTTACTTTACAACGCCACATATCAATTACTAATTGGTGGCGTTATAACAAATGGACTGAAATAAGAAATCTCAAAAAAAAAAAGAAGAAGAAGAAGTCAGTCAAAAGAATTCGAAATACAAGATTCAAATAAGAGATAAACCCATTAGAATAAACTGACTTCCATCTAAAATGTAAAGAATCATACTGTAATTTGTGCATTTTTGTTAAAGCAGTTAAAATTAAGAAGCCACACCTTCGACATTTAACCTAGTAAATAATCACGTCATTTGGAAGCCAAGCCTTAAATCTCTACCAGGCAATAAAGAGGGTATAAAAAATGAGACTCCACTACTATCAGATTCTCATGTTCTATTATTGAGATGCAAAAGAACTGCCCTAAAACACAGGTTTCTTTTCAGAATTCAAACTTGCTAAACTTAGCAAAACAGAGTTGAGGTTAATTTTTCCACACTATTATGGACATGAATCATGGAGTTGATCATTTTCTTCAATACAGTTATCAGAGAAGTATAACCAACTCTTACATTATAAATGGATAATAAATACAGTATGATTCTATGAAGTTTCAAGTGATTTCTATCGGCAGAATTGAACAACATGAGTTTCAAAATATGAAATTTTAATGTAGGTAAGAGAGAGCACAACAACAAAAGCAAAGCGTGAAACGACCACAAAGATTACTCCTACATTATAAATGGATAATAAAATACTATTCAACAAACGAAACCAAAAAAATCAATTCGAGAGAACAAATGAAAATCTGAGCACCTCCTCAAAAAATATCCAAGAAATGAGAATAATGAAATCTAGACCAAATCATTATGATTTTCAACGTCAACGTGTGGTCAATTATGATCATCTGAATACCTTTAACAACTCAAATACAGAATGTTACAAATACATAATTATGGGCTTACAATCACATGGTATCATGTGTCCAGGTTTACGTCTTGAGAGCAGCCACTTCATATAAAAAAAACTGAAGGGTAGGACTGCCTTCAAATTCTTCCTCTCAAGATCCTGCTTCAATGGAATCACAATGGGATAAAAACCCATCTTTTATGTGCCATGAAATCAATAAGCATCAAAATAGAAATAAAATACAAGTTAACATTGTAAAATTCTCAATAAAAATGATAATGACAAAACAAGTGTCACCTTCCCAATCAATTTAACATTTGGTTTTGTCCGTAAGTCAAAGGTTTGCACCAAAGATAGGAACAAAGCAGAGCATTAGCATCCCATTACAGCACAGTTTGCCACAAAAGCACCTGCTCGCTCCTTGACAGCAAGAACATTCCATTCTGGTCTGTCCGTGCTTCTATCCTGAGGATCCCAAGTATGTAGCACAATAACTTCACCTTGAGGGCCTCTATGCCCTCCAATCACCAGCAAGCTGCTACCACATGCTTTAAATGCTAATCCCCAGCCATTAGAAGAGTCAGCCCTAACTGGCAACCTCTTCACAACACTCCATGAATTATTAGTTTTGTCATATCTCTTGACCTCATTGGTTGCCTGATCAGCAGAATAAAGTTGATTATTTACAACAGCAACCAGCGGAGGAGAACGCATTGCAGGATGACCTGCACTGGGAAGAGGGTACATGTTCTCTATCCTCCTCCATGTCCTTGTCTCAAGGTTATACTCTTCACCACAACTTAAACAATCTGTTTGGCTTGACATGCCCCCAATGACATAGAACTTCCCATCCATAAAAAAGCCTGAGCACAGCTTACGGGGCAGGTTCATGTCTGGCAAAGTTAGCCAAGAACCCAGTTCAGAGTTATAAAGCTCAGCAGATCTCATAATGCATCCATTCCTGTCACTTCCACCAGCAACAATAGCAATTTCGCCAAGGCTGCTTGAACCAAACAAACAACGGGGTAAGTTCATTGGAGGGCATCTGGACCAATCGTGTGTAAGCAAGCTATACATCCAAACAGCAAATCCTACCAACTCACGCCCAAAAACAAGTAGCTGAGTCCCAACTGCAAGAGACTCCTTATCTGCATAAGTGAAGCATTCATCACAAGGCATCCTCGGTAACCGCATCCATCTCTGCCTTGCAGGATCAAAAGCTTCCCAAGGCATCAAAATACAAGCTAAATAAATCCAGTGTTCAATAACACCAAGCTGCCGCCTCACTTTATACAAATACCCACTTTCGATCAATGCTTTGAATTTCTTATTCAGACAAGCCAAATTGGGGTAATCTGATCTGCAACTCCAAGCCAAAATATCTATCGCAGCATCATCATAAAGACCAGGCAAGAGACTGTCTTCGGATGCTTGCCCATTGCGATTCTCTCCAGTATCCATAGGTTCGTAATCAGAGTTCAAACTCTCCCTCTCAAACAAACCAATTCCAACATTTTCCGAATTGCTATTATTTCTCCCAGAAAGAATATAAGCCAGTATATGCAAATTCTTCTCAAAAAATCCCAAGTCTTGCTCTAAGTTTACAGGAGGCTGCGAAATAAGACAATTTTGCAAGCCAGACATAACCGATGAATCACAATCTGCCCTTTCCACCTTCACTTTTGGTTCCTTTATAACATCTCTAAAAACCATTTCTTAAAAACAAAAACCGGGTTGGTTTTCCTTCTGCTACACCAATCAATTAAAGCAAATAAAAAAGAAAAAAAAAACAATAACCTGTCAAAAACAAGTTGTTGATTAACATAAACTGCAACTAACTAATAAAAACCTCAAATCCTAGCAAGTCGCAACAGATTGGACTTCCAAACAAAAAACATCAAATCAAACATGCTACAAAATCGAGATGCAAAGACAAGGAAAACCCAGAAAGGATACAGATCCAATCACGCAATGAAGTCAAAAGCATCAAACTTTAACCAAAATCAAAATTCACCACCCCATCAAATCAAAGCATAGAAATTTCAATAAAGAAGGAAAAAAAAAAGTTCCTTTGTTCGTGGGTCTCACCTTGAACAGCTGAATTCTCTATTCCGCAGATAAAACCGCAGCCGATCAGATCAGTTTAAAGAAGGAGCAGTTTCTCTCTCTCGAAAGCTCAAATCTTCAGTTTTTTTTTTTTCTTTAAAGTAAAACAGCTATATCTTCCTCTATCTTCTATTTATCCGTGTTTTTTAAAATTTTTATGATGATAAAACCTGAAAAAGATTAGTCTTATTATTTGTTGATGTTTCTCTCTCTAAAACATCAGATAGAGAGAAATTGTTGTGAGGAATTTTAATGGTGGAATCCATCCATTGATGTTATTAGTTAATTAATAATTAATTAACTAATATTAAAAGGAAAAAAAAGCGCAAAGCAAAGGTTGTTGCGTTGTTGGTTTTTTCTTTTTTATTTTTAACGTTTTGTTTTGTTTTGTTTTGTTTTTCATGTTTCACTGCCTTTGTAATTTGCTCTCAGCCTCTTTCTTTCTCTCTCTGTTTCTTTTCTTTTTTTCATCTTTGACCAAAGAAGGAAGAATGTGTCAAGTGAAACTGCTGCTTCTTATCTGCCTTCTTATTTGTTTCCTTCCTCTTAGTGATGTGCACGTGCTTACTTTTGCCTTCACACCTCTCTCTCTCTCTCTCTCTCAAAAATTATTCCTTTTCCAATTCTTAAATTACTACTAAATTTCCATCTCAATTTCATCCACAAGTTTTTTTTTTTTTTCATTGCATCCTAAATCCTCTGATTTCAAAATCTCTCGACGTTCTAACATAGTTGTCTCAAGATTATTGATTAGTCCCATATAATCAAGAGTGGGGACATACAAGGAGGAGAAGAAGGCAATTGCCCCCTTTCCATTTTTATATAAATCCTTTATTAGTTTTAGTTTGGTAGTTCAAATTTGTCCTCTTTCTATTTAGACATTTACTCTATATATTTCTTGAAATTTTTTCATTGTCTTCCTTTCCTTTTAATCCCACCTTCACTCTTAATATAAGCAATTAGGTAATCGAGTTGATAGTTAAAAATCAAAAAGTCGAATCGTGATTGGTTTTGAGATGAGAATTGACCAAGTTAAATTTTAAGTTCTCAATAAAAGAAATATATTTACATTAAACTTATTAAACTTTAAATAAATAAATAAATTTTCACTAGAGACACATCCACGTGATTACGAAATGAGATGTAAGAAGAATGTCATTGCATCTATAGACATCAAATACATTTCAAAAGTGAGAAAGAGTTTTTTAATTTGTTATGAGAAATGAAATATCATAAAGTTGGTTAATTTGTGTTAGAACAAACTTTAGAACTGGACATTACGATAAATTACTTTCTAATTTTCTCTTCTTTATCAAGACAACATTCTCGTTTATCATACCGAGTGTACTCTAGCTTTATCTTAAAATTATCCATAATTAAGATATTTTAAAATCTTTCTAACATGATTCACACTTTTTAAAAGGATTAGTAAAAAAAATGAGAGAGTTTAACATAAGCGGCGTAACATCATTTAATTCATGTCCTATAAGGATTCAAGCGTAACGGACATGATCTAACTTTTTATAAGGTTTTGACATACTTTGTTTAATCCTCGCCTTTTTTTTTCCAAGTTATCCAAATTACTAATGAGAACTTAAGACAAGTGGGGGCTATAAGAAAAATACTATACAATCTCTTTTGTATGCTTGAGTTTCAATCTAAATGGGAGTTCAAATAAACATCGGTAGACTTGTTTTACACTCGTTATTTGAATTTTTCTATCTAATCCTAAAGGAACATTAGCTATCTCAATCGTTCTATCTAGTCTTAAAGGAACAAAGCTCGGGTATAGAGCTTTTTTTCTTGGGTTTTAGTTAGCTATGTGGAGCTCGAAAGCATTAATGCACATTCGATGTACTTTGTAACTAATAAATAAAACAACTGAAAAATTAAATGATTGGAAAATAAATAAAGAAAATGCTCGAAAGTAACTTGAAAAAAATGGCAAGAATAGTTTTTTTTTTTAAATAAGTCCATGGTTTAACTCATTCTCCATCGAAATTGTCATGCTCTCGCTACCTCACATACGAGATATTTTGAAAAAAAGAGAGTTTGAAATGAAGAATAATTACCTAGTACTTTAACGAGACTAGAAATCCTACATGACTAGTCTTTCAAATATCATAGATAAAGAGTTGGTTATATTTATTAAAAAAAATAGAAATTATAAAAAAAATAATTTCATAAGAATGGTTACCGAGACTTGTTTATAATCTCAAGTCATTTGCCTAACAAGATAATTATTTTGGCAAAATTATTTTCTAATTTATTTATGAGTTTGTTGCTAGGCACGTTGATTTGAATTTCAAATTAATTTTTTATGTTTATTTATATGGATACTTTTAATATATTGTATAATTATTGGTGATTGTGGAATTATATTAAATAAACATTGGTGATTGTGGATCACGAATAATGTTAGTTTGGCATAGAATCCGGATGCAAGTGTCGTATTTGGAATATACGTAAGTGGATTAAATTGGTTAAGATTTAACAATGGAATCTTATTAAATTTATATCAAATCTTGAATTCAATTATTATGTCAATTTAATACCGGATCTAATTAATATTCCGACATGATTGTCATGTCACAATTACATTGACAAAAATTGGAACGACTAAATTGATTAACCAAAAGTTACAAAATTATAATGAAATTTAAAACTTTTACTATCTAGTTTTCAAGATGAAAAAAATAAAATAATGGGTTTAATGCTTGGGGGATCCCTCTAGTCTTGCTCCTATCTTTATAATGTTCATCTACTCTTTTTTTTGTATTAATTTTATTTCATTATATTTGATTTTTATCTTTATTATAATTTTTTGTCAAGGTTTGAGATCAACAACGTTAAATCTCATTATTTGAGTGTGCGAGATGATATTGGCAAGCGTTTTATGCAATTTTTTCTTATGTAAATGTGATTGTGGTTGTAATGATGTTGGAAGAGGAAGAGGAGGTAGTATAGCAATTATAGTATAGTAAAATTAATGTCACCACCACGGGAGATGACTGTGAAAAAAAAAGTGATGGTAATGGATTAATAATAATAAATTAAAAAATATGTATTGTTAATCCATCACCACCTCCGACGGTGGCAACAACAAAGACAACAATAGTGGTAAATGTAGTTGGCATACAATGAATATATGTAATATATCATTCTTTAAGTAAATAATAATAATAAAAATTTCTTATTGTTTATTTTTATTTTGACCTTCTCCAACGAAAATGAAATTATATTTAGTTTTGAAAATGTGTTCACGTAAATTATTCATTTTACCTCTATTTTTTTCACTTGTCAATTAATTCATATATTACTTTAATTTTTTCAGTTAGAGGTTTGCAAATTAATCTAATAGCTAACTTCCGTCAAGTCCCAATGTTAACTATACTTGCAAACGTGAAATAACTAAATATTTTTCTTTCATTAAATAACATTTAATATTCATATAAAACCTATGTCTCCAAATAAATTGTCTCGAAAAAACATACTAAAAACACATATATCATATCATGTGTAACTTATAGTCATCAATGTAAAAAGCTAAATAAATCTAAAATAATAAAACATGCTGCTTTTTTGAAGTTATCTAGAGATAGAAAATGGTTCAGTCTTTTTTTTTTTTTTTTTTATATCAAATTTGTCATACATCAATCTTTAAACAAATCTAAGCTAAATGGGCTAAAAAAAAGTTTAATCAAATAGTTTTTTTTTTTATCAAAAATCATTTTTAATATATCTTAAGTTTATTAAGTGATAGACATATGAGTGTGTGTGTATATATATATATCCTATATAAATATAAAAGTCATTTTATATAAGCATATTATTTAATTGCTAACTTCTTAGCAACGAGGGAAGAAATAAGTTTTAGAAGAAAAAACAAAACATCCATATGTTTTGGTACATTTTTAAATGTTAAAAAATTAAACTTGCATGTTAGAATTGATGAAAAAATAATATATAAAAAAAATCTGTTTTCAAATATATAACAATTAGAAGGAGGTCCAATTTGAAATTGAAAATTAAAAGACTAATCCACTGATAACTTAATTTTAGAAGAAGTTTGGACCGTTTGACCACAAATCAAATTATCAACCCCCTCATGTTTCGATTGGGTGCCTTTGAAAATGGTACTTTTGTTACAAGTAAAAAAGTTTGATATTACGTGCCGCTTTTGTGCTAATTAAAACTCAAAAGTCTAAACTCTTGATTTTATAATTTATATACCTCTCGACTTCCAAATTAATTTTTGGAATTCTACCAATACTTACTTCCATTAGCATTTGGATAAAAAAAGGCTTGCTATGATTACTTCAAGCCTTTAAGTTACACACTATTAAATATATTTATTTATTATATTACAATGACTTATCTCATCACTCGGTAATTAAATTAATTATTTCGTAACAATACTAATTATTAATATTATTATATGATTACAACTCAAAAAGCACATTGTTAATTTTTTTTTTAAAAAAACACATACTATTTATTGATTTCGTAAAAAATGAGTAATTATAAACTGTCAAATAGATTTACAAAATAAATCTTGAAAAATTTTCTTTTTCTTTTTATAATTTAGCTTATTACTTCATAATAATGATAGTTACAAACAATTAAATATAATTTTAATAAAAAATTTTCTTATTATCTCAAAGTAAAAATTATTTAAATTATAAAGAATGATCACGAAATTATAATTATTAACACCTATTGCATCATAAACATTACCTTACTATTTTGTAAATTTGAGGACAGTAATTACGATGCCTTCAAGTAACTGGAGGAAGCTGTAAGAGGAAAAGCCCACAAAGCTCGGCAAATGCCCAAAAGCAAGGCGTTTTCCCAAACTGGTTCTGAATTCGGGCATAAGCCCATAACACGCTACTGGCTCAAACTATATAAAACTGGCAGAAACCCACGTGGCTCTTGCCTGACATGACAAAGTACACGTGCCAAGTCAACACACGCTCTACGTATCACGATTCACACGTGCTAAATCCCAAACAGCGCACGTGCAACCAGACAGGCTTGTGATTGGCTTTCAAAATTTGAATCCCATTTTTTAAATTTTCCGAAAAAAATATAGTAAACAACAAAATAAAATTAAAAAAAAAAAAAAAACTTCTAAAACTGGAACACCCAACCTGACCCTCAAAAAAAAAAAAAAAATAAAATAAAAAAATCTGCAAAAGAAATTATGAATTATTATTTTCAGTCCCTAGAGTCTGAACAAAGTTATAACTCAAATCCCTTATATTTAAAAACTTATAATTAGTCCCCACAACTGTTGCTTACCTTTGTTGTCCTTTAAATACATAGTTTATATATATATATATATATAATTCTGACAACCGTTTTAAAAATTATTTAAAAACCAAAAGTCAAAAGTTACAAAATAAAAATTTTGAATATAAAAATATTTTAACAACACTTGTTACCAAATATTTTTTACAATCCACAACTGTGATTTTTCCAACATACCATAAATCCTCTTGCGTGTGTATATGTTTTTTAAAAATATTCAAAGGACTACATTATAATATCGTTCAAAATGTAGGAATTAAAACTAATTTACACAAAACTTATTTTGGCAGGAAAATGTGGAGAGAGTAAAAGGAAAGAAAAAAATAGAAAGGAAATCTAGAAAGAAAGGAAGAAAAAAAAAAACTTATCAGTCGTTGGGTGTGAGGGAGAGATAAATAGAAGAAAGAGAGAGAGAAGCAATCAAAAGCATGGAGTGAGAGAAAGAGAGAGAGAGCATGAAGAAGTTGATTATGGATTTTATTAGTATTTATTTAAATCGATTATTTCAATATTTCGTTTCCAGATCATAGAGAGAGAAAGTAGAGAGAGATAGAAAGATTATGAGTTGTTAAATGACTTTTTATAGATAAATAAGAGCAGATATTGTGGTGTGCGTGTTAATTAGATCCTCTTGGAGTTGTATGATTAGATATATAATCTGATTTTTGTATGTGTGGTTAATAAAGTGAGAAAGAGAGAAACCTAGATAATAATTTGGGTGACTTTTGGGAGAAAAATAATTTTAGGGATTGATGGTGGTGGATTGTGGTGGATTGTGTCGGTGGGGAAGGGGATGGCAGCCAAGCGAAAAGGAAGGAACGTCCAAGAGCTGTACAATGCGACTGATATAATTGGGGAACCAAAGGCATAGTCCCCCCTTTTTTTAGGGTTTCTTCTTTTTTTTTAATTATTTAATTTGATTAATTTGTGTTTCCTTCTTATTGTTTTTGGATTGTTAGAAAGTCTGCGTGTTGCGTTAGTTGGATTAGGGTTTTTTTTTTTTTTTTTTTTTGCTGTTTTTCTGATCAGATTGTGGTTTTGGTGGTGTTTTTTAGATCACTTCTGTGTTGAGGGGGAGTCATCGTATGCAAGGGCCATTAGAGGAAACTCAGAAGAAGTATATGGTGAGGAGAAAGGGTAATTTACATGCTGTTTGTTTTCTCTTTTTCTCTCTCTCTCTTTCCCTTTAGAGTTTACTCTGAAAGCTAGCACCTTCAATTGAATGAATATGGGTGTATATAGCATAAAAGGATGAAATTGAACATTGCAATCGGGTTTGTCGTCTGGGTTGGTGGCATTTAAGATGCATTGAATCTTTCTTTCGTGGAAGCTGTTCAAATGCCGTATTTGGATAATAATCTAGCTATAGATGGGACTTGTATTAGATAAACATTCTGATGCCAATAGCATGGTGTTTTATTTTTATTTTTCTTATCATCTTCACTGTGGACTAACATTACCCTAAACTTAGAACATAGTTAATCTATCAAATGCTGAATGCTGAATCAATTTTGAATTCAGCCATTATTCTGACATCCTGAAAGATTGATATATTGCTGTTATTCTCAAGTTCTATAAGATTGTCATGTGTCTTTGTTAATCATAAACTTGGTAAAAAGATGACCACCATTGCAAAACCAAGGTCTGAGAAGTCTTGGGGTTCAGGAAGGAAGACTTGTAATAATATTACTGGGGGTGCATTTACTTTATCATATTAGTTTTACATTTTTCAATTTTGTTTTACGCTGCTATTTTACTTCCATATTCTAATACATCTCTACCTAAAAATGTGTTTACTTGTTGATTCCTCATATAAGCTTTTGAGGTTAGGAGTCATATGTTGCTTAATCTATTTTATTAATCATTTTTTTCCTGCCACGTTAATTCATCTTGTTAGCATCCTTATCCTTGATAGAAAGTGGGTTTCTGAAAGGAGTAATGATCTTATCAGGGTCATTAGGTTGTTTCTCTGTTTCTGATAATCAAGCAAGTACAAGATGTATTCTCCAGCAACTAGTTATTTCCATATATATAAATATGTTATTCACCAAACCTGTCACTTCAAGAACTTAACCTTTATATATATATATAAAGGTAGATTTTTTTGACATTCAAGGCATACATTTTTGTTTCTGTGTGTTACTTCCCTTCTTCGTTGTAAAAGAGCACTCGGCATTTGGTAGGAACTTGCCTACCATTGTTACTTCACGAGGGCGTAAAAATGTAGCTGTCATGGAATGAATATCTCTGTCAGAAGGCACATTTTTGTCCTAGTTTTAATTAGGTACAATTTTGGCATAAGAAATCTTGTGATGTTGTATTGTATAAATCACCCTTGGTTTCAACCTAAAGACAGTGATAGTTGATGTTCCTTGGCTATTTTTGAACTCAGATAATTGCATGCACTCCCTTCTTTTTGTCTGTTTGAATAAATGTCTCTTATGTGCTTGAAGTTCACAACCTTGGACTCTTTTAGAGGCTAGTGGGAGAAACCTTCTGGTTTGTGTAAGGAGACACTGAGCATTCCAGTTGAAGAAATAGTCTCTCCTGGACTGGTTGAAGCTTCCTGCAATTACATTTTTCCTTCCCACTCGTTTGTTTCTCTTGGCTTGTGCTTATTTTAATACAAAACAAGGATTGGATGTATATGTTTTTTGAGGTAGTATTAATGCATATTCTTCTTATATATCTCATGGAAAATAGGTTTGTGAAATGTTCCATGGAGAGAACGAAGCAATAAGACCTTCTGTTAATAAAATGATCTTGGAAATGCACATTGGATGAGTTGTCTTATGAAGAAGTGTTTCATTATCGAAGGAAGGCATCCTAATAACACAAAGGCATATCATTCAAAAAATATAAAATAACTGCATGCTTTAAGTAGCATTGTCATAATCCAGGTGCTTTTGTTGTGTCAGTGAGATAGATTGCTGATAAAGATGATTGTTACAGGGGCTATCGGCCACAGGCAGCATGCAAGTGAACTAGTTATCACTTTTATTACATATAATAAGAAAACCCCAAGAAAAATGCTTATTGCTTAAATGCAAACCTTATATAGTTGGTTCAGTTTTTATGTGTTATGTGCATGCAAATTTACTATCTGAGGGATGATTTTTTTTTTTACTAAGAAGGTGTGAATTCTACCCCTGATGTTGTTTTCTTATCTGATTACTTATATTCTTCATAATTTTGTACTAGGAACCATCACAGGCTGAAAAAGGAATAGGCAAGCCTTCCATGAGACAGAAGGTTCGTACCAGAGCTGAGTCTGGGACGTGTAATGTGTGCTCCGCCCCTTGTTCATCTTGCATGCATCTTAAGCTAGCCTGCATGGGATCAAAGGGTGATGAGTTTTCTGATGAAACCTGTCGTGTAACTGCATCGAGTCAGTATTCTAATAACGATGGTGATGGTTTAGTCTCTTCTAAAAGTAGAGCACGTGACAGCTTACAGCATACCACTAGTGAAGCAAGCAACCTGCTCAGTGTCAGTTCAAGTCATGATTCTCTGTCTGAAAATGCAGAAAGTAAAGCAAACATAAGGTCATCTGATGCTGATGCCTCAGCTGATTCTCAGATGCTTCCAAAGCTGTCCTCTGGTAGAGCTGTTGCAGAGGATCAGTTTTCTCTGAAACCACAGTGTCTTTCAGATCAGAAAGCTTTCTCAAAGAAGCATGGGGATTTTAAATCTGAAGAGGGCCATGATGATAACATGTCATGTGTTAGTAGAGCTGTTGATACAAGCAAAGTGGTTAGTTATCCTAACAAGAATTTAGACAGGAATAATTTATTGCGCAGTTCAGCTTTAGAAGTGGAAGGATCTGGAAAGGCACTATTTTCTCACAAATCAGACTCATTGGAGACTCCTTCAAATGATGCTGATGCTGGTAGTAGCTCACCAAAGGTCCAGACTAAGTGCCTTTCCTTGAATGCAAATGGTAAACGTTTCGATGAAGATCCATCTTTACATGACCATGGAAAACCATTTGAATGTCCAATGGAACAGGTCAATCTGTCATTGTCAAAAAAAGCAGCATCTAATATTGATTGTGGCAGCAACTTGGCTGCACACAACAATGCTGATAATGATGCAAATGGTAAAAGTACCATTAATGCAGATAGTTCCAAGGTTTCATGCAAAATCTATTCAAAATTAGAATCAGAGGCTGACAAGGATAGTGGGGACCAATCAGATAAGGGTTTTAAATGTCCTGACCAAGGTGGACTAGAAGAGAAGTTGAACGAGTCAGATGAGTTAACGGATACGCAGGAGCCTCCTTTGCAATCTGCATCCGGTGACGAGAGTGACGAGTCTGAAATTCTGGAACATGACGTGAGTAATTGTTCTTATACTTGTTTAGTAAGATGGCTATATATGCATCAGATCAAGTTGTTCTTTTTTGAATGTTTTCAGAACTTTTTTCATTCTCTTTTCATTTTATACTTGCATTCTGGTGGTTTGAAAGTATATTCTTCCATCCAGTTTATATTTTTTGAGCTCATACATGTGTTTGTTGCCTTCTTTCTGTTGTTTCTATTCTCTGTGATTTGCTTCTTAATTTCTCTCCCTTTGGGTTCCCCTCTGTCCTCGTCTGAACTGTTTTGCTTGCCTGAAACAGGTAAAAGTATGTGATATTTGTGGGGATGCAGGTCGGGAGGATTTGCTTGCTATATGTAGTAGGTGTGCTGATGGTGCAGAACACACGTAAGAATATACAACCTTTCATCTATATTTTCAGTTGGCAACCCAAATTGGTTATTTTCTTTTTTCTTTTTATCTTATATTGCATTGTTTCTAGCCCAAGTTTTAACATGGTTGCTGCTACTTATCAGCTATTGTATGCGAGAGATGCTTCAGAAACTTCCTGAAGGTAATTGGCTATGTGAAGAATGCAAGTTGGCTGAGGAAACTGAAAATCAAAAGCAAGGTAGAGTTGTAATAGCAGTCCAAATTGTCTTTTTTCTTTTTCAGTGATTTAATTATTAGTTCTGGACACAGGAGCATTTTCGTACTAGCATCTTTATAAGATTAATTGAATTTCAGATCCTGAGGAAAAAAGAACAAATGTAGCAAATACACAAAGCTCTGGCAAGAGACATGCAGAACCTATAGAGCTGGCTTCAGCACCCAAAAGGCAGGTTACTGAATCAAGTTTGGCATCACCCAAGTCATGCAGTCCTAGCAGAATAGCTGCGGTATCACGTGATACTTCATTCAAGAGCTTAGATAAGGGAAAAGCAAAGATAGCTCAACAAACATCTTTTGGCAGTCGCTCCAGTATTGATATTCCGGAAAATGTACGCCCTTCTTTGAATGGACCACGTGTTCAAACCTCCAAGGGTAAGAATCAGAGCCTTGTCCATATTCTTACTGTACAATGCATAGAGCGAGGTCCAATTTACACTTAGATTGATGGCATTTTGGTTTTGCACTTCACAACTTTTCGATGCAATCCACATTTTATGTTTCAAGCAACCAACATTTGGGATCCCATTCATGTAGATCTATTTTTCAATTTTAGATCCATCAGACAGCAATATGTTGCTATCAGATATAGGTCTTCAATTTGGATATTTGTTTATATTTTTGATGAACATAAATGTTGACATAATTGGAATGCCTATTAAATTCTGGTTGACAAGTAATCTATATGGATGGAGAATTATGATGTGAGGGTTGGTCTGATAGAAATTAGATTGCATAAAGAAGTCATTAAGTGTTGTAAAGAACTAATATTTTTACACCCAGTGTAATTTAAGGTTGTTTTTGGTGCGATTTTAAAAAATTGGAAATTAAGTGTTAACTGGTGAAGTATTGATGGGGTAAAAAAGTGGTTGAGGGGTAAGTGTTAATGGTGTTCGGTAGGTGTTAAAAAAAGTGTAATGGCAGGACCTAATAAATTTCAAATCAAAATTTAAATGAAATATTTTAAAAATTACCTGTAAATAATGTGTAGTGGTGCGCCTAATAATGTTGTCTGAGTGAGAGAGTGGGAAAATGGGTGAGGGGTTCAAGGAATTGATAGAAACACAAAAATATAAAATTTTCCCACCTTAACCATCCTTTCCCTGATCCCCACTAGGTTATCATTTGATCCTCTTTTGGGGGTTAAATGGTAACTCCTTAAATATCTTTCCAAACAAGACTAACCGAAAACCAGATAAAACCTAAACCTGATATGTATAGTTGAATGAAGTCGTCTATGGCTTTGCTCTTTCTAATGTTTCTCACAAACTTGGTTTTATTATGTCAAGCATTTAGTCAGTTTTCTTTTTCTACAGGTACCTTATTGAAATCCAATTCATTTAACACCTTAAATTCCAAACCGAAAGTGAAACTTGTCGATGAAGTTCCTCAAAAGCACAAGGGGACTAGAGAGAGTTCTTTAGATATGAAGGAGGGGCCTGCTAGAATGATGAGCAAGTCTATGTCATTCAAATCTGTGACCTCAGGCCGATCCAGCACTAACGAGTCAAAAGTTAAAATGCTTTCGTCCAAATTTTCTCACATTCAAGATACAAGAGCATTAAAGCAAGTGAAAGACCGGAATGCAGTTGATAGAAAAAATTTGTTGAGATTGGATCGCCCGTCAGGTAGTTCAATGACAAGTAGTGCTGTTGCTTCAACACCTAAGGTTGATCAAAGGCTCACTCCTCGTGGTGAAAGTGCTATAGCATCATCCCCAAGCAACAACAGAGAGTTGAAGTCCGCACAATGTGATGGAAGATTGGGTACCTTATCAAGATCAACGAGTAGTGTAGGTCGTAAAGGTGCAGATATTCCAGGTATTTCAGGTTTTTCTTGATGATAGACTTGACAAAATATAATGTCGTCTCGTTGTACCCCTTTGTATTTTGTGATACACTTAATTTGTTTTTTATTTTTAGTTCAGGTGACTAAGCAGGAATTTTATTTTTTGCCAATGCAGTTCGAGCTTCATCTACAAATGGAATTAGCAGTATTTCTGTGGAACAAAAATTGAATCAACTTAGCCCTAAGGATGAACCCTCATCCAGTTCTTCTTGGAATGCTGAGAGACAGTCCAATAATGCTAATGAAAATTTGCAAGATGGCTTATCTCGATCACGGGAATCATCAAATCAAGGTGAAAAAGCTAGGGAAAGTTCTGTCAGTCGCTTGAGGCATGCTGGCACCACCGGGTTGAAAAATGTCACTTGTCAGAAGTGCAAGGAAATTGGTCATGCTACAGAAAATTGCACTGCTGTTAGTCATTTGGCTTCTGGTACTGATGCATCTACTTCTTCTAGAACTGTCAGAGAGGAGATGAGCAAAGGTAGTAAATTGAAAGCTGCAATTGAGGCTGCTATGCTTAAGAAGCCTGGAATATACAGAAAGAAAAAAGAAAGTGATCGATCCGATGGGTTGTCCTTGTCAAACGTGGATGCAAGTGGCGAGGTAGCTTCTCAAGATCAGTTCTCAGTTTTAAATAAGATGATTGAAGGAACACTTGAAGGGCAAGCAAACCTTGGCACTTCTTCCCCTGAGTTCTGCAAATTGACAAATATTAATAACGTGAAGCAGCTTAATCAGCACTCCACTGATGCAGTTGTCACTTGTCAGAAGTGCAAGGAAATCGGTCATGCTACAGAAAATTGCACTGTTGTTAGTCCTTTGGCTTCTGGTAATGATGCATCTACTTCTAGAACTGCCAGAGAGGAGATGAGCAAAGGTAGTAAATTGAAAGCTGCAATTGAGGCTGCTATGCTTAAGAAGCCTGGAATATACAGAAAGAAAAAAGAAAGTGATCAATCCGATGGGTTGTCCTTGTCAAATGCAGATGCAAGTGGCGAGATAGCTTCTCAAGATCAGTTTTCAGTTTTAAATACGACGATTGAAGGAACACTTGAAGGGCAAGCGAACCTTGGCACTTCCTCTGAGCTCTGCAAATCGACAAATATTAATAACATGAAGCAGCTTAATGAGCACTCCACTGATGCAGTTTGTTCTTTCATGCCTGGGCGATTGGATTCCATTGCCCCTTATTTGGGAAAGCCTGCTCATGCTTCAGCAGAGAAGTCTGTCCTTATGAAGATGTCAGCCATCCCAGAGCACGAATATGTCTGGCAGTAAGTTTGTCTTAATGTTTGTGCCTTGACATTACATTTTCTTCCACAATTACATGTTTTTAAAAATGCAATGTAGATAATCTTTTGTTACATAAATACAGGGGGTGTTTGAAGTGCATAGATCTGAAAAATTTAGTGACCTATATGGTGGAATTCAAGCACATCTATCGACTTGTGCATCACCTAAAGTCTTTGACATGGTTAACAAGTTTCCTCAGAAAATTAACTTGGATGAAGTACCTCGCTTAAGCACGTGGCCAAGACAATTCCACACTAGTGGTGCTAAAGAGGAAAATATTGCTCTTTACTTCTTTGCCAAGGATTTTGAAAGGTAAATATGTGCATGCCTTTTCTGATTGAATGGTTTTCCTGCATATATCTGTCTGTATATTTATTTGTTTTTTATACTGCTCGTGTTACAGCTATGAGAACTACAAGGGATTGTTGGACAGCATGATTAAAAAGGATTTGGCCCTCAAAGGATCATTTGATGGTGTTGAATTCTTCATATTCCCATCCACTCAGCTTCCAGAGAACTCCCAGCGTAAGTACATTTTCAAAATTGATTTATAAACACTGATTCTGGTGCCCCATAATCATTCTGCGATAAAATTTCTATTTTAAATGTTTGAGGTTCATTCAATTTGATTCTTGCTGAATTTCTATTGGAATGAGATCTTTGTGACCTACACCATCAAATATCGTTCTATGGATGTTGATGAAGCAACCTATCCCAATCAACCTTCCTCTGATTTTCGTTTGTGCAATTTCACCTGCAGCAAAACCAAATCGCCAATTCTCTATGCGTAATAAAGCCTGATCCTGACCTGGCTATATAACTTTACTTCCCTCCCTCTCCCTTTTGTTACTGCCTGGCATGATCTTCTTGATCTTTTTTTTTTTATCATTTTGTTTATTGCTTCAAATCCCTCCTTTCTTGTGTGGCCGCTGCTCTCAGTTGTGCAGACTTCTGTTTGATACTTATTCTGAACTAAGTACATGTTCTCTTATCAATTTTTTGGGACTTTATGTTATTGTTTGCTTCGTTTTTTAATCAGACAGCACTCCATTATTTGTTGGAAGATGCATAGAAGTTCTGATTGTCTAAGGTTCTTGTGAAGTCTGAGACTGTCATCAGCTTTTACATTTTACCTCAGGTTAAGATAACAACAGTTTTACGAATGCTCCAACAGCTATATGGGAAAAAATGAATGAAGTGTATGCACATAAGAAATTATTAGTCTATAGATATTAATCTCTTTTCAATAAATAACCAAATGGGACAGCCTGGCAAATTTTAAAGCACTGTCATTCTAACTAACAATGCATAAGTCAATTAGCTAGCCTTCAGCTGCTTTTCTGGTAGGAATTTGCAAGGAGCATGTATGCTCAAAAGTATAGGAATTAAACTAATTTAGTGTGATTATTATTTGCAGGCTGGAACATGTTATATTTCTTGTGGGGAGTGTTCAAGGGAAGGGCATCTGATTGTTCAGATTCATTTAAGAAGATAGTTATTCCCAGTTTGAATGTGGTGCCCAGGGACAATGACATTTCTGCTGCGGTCTTGTCTTCATCTGCGAATCTATGTGCATCTGAATGTATAGTTAACAAAACACCTGCATGTGGCAGTTCTTGTGATGCGCCTCGTACATCAAATGTTCCTGACAAGCCACGTGTGCCCTTGAACGGGAATTCTGATGGCGAAGTACTTAATTCACATACGATCCTAGAGAAGCAAAACGGTAAACTTGACTCCAAATCCTTGCCAAAGATTCCAGGAAGCTGTACCTCATGGTGCCCAGAAATTAGATGTAGCAGTCCTCCCCTGGTAATTTTTTTGCCTTACACATGACGAACAAAAAAACACTTATTTGGCTGATATTATGTTATGGCTTTATCTATGTTCAGAGTCTTGGTGGAGTGGCTACTATGTCTATTGGCTAACATTCTACAATCCCAACAATACACATATGATGCATTACAACCCTGCCTTCCCTATCCAAAAGGAAAAGAAAAAAAAAAAAGATAGAGAGAGAGATTAGTTTCAAATTTTTCCACTCATTTAACTTGACACTAGCCATCACTGATCAGCAATTTAGCAATATCATAAAGTTCTCAAGTTTTTATTGCCTTGTGACTTTGCCGTATATTCAAAAAAATAAGTGGCAATAACATTCAGGTTTTCTTTTATCACCACGATCCAATCAGACCATTTAGTATGTGTGCTATTTCAGAAAGATGGCACACATGATTGATTTGAATGTGATTTTGACATTTGTGATTCATAGTAATTCTATAAAGCATTTGGTTTTAGATTTCTTCTTCTTCTTTTTTTTTTTTTTTTTTTTAATACTTTCTAACCCTAAACTATGTCTTTTCCTGTTCTAATAACATTAGGTTTTTGAATTACATATTTTCTTTTCTAAGAGGCTGTGTAACTTGAAGGCCTATTGAGCCAAGTGATTAAGTTGTGACCTTAGATATTTAAATGCTGAATGGGTTTAGCATGGCATAGGTCATTTGGTTGATGCCTAATTACTGTAACTTTTTGTGTAAAAGGTAAATTTCATGTTAGTTTGAATAAGTGCACCTGTACTTTCCTGAATGCAATGCATATAAATGATTTTGTTATGGAACGTGTATTGCTTAAGGACCAAATATTTTGTGCTCCCAAAAATAGCTTTGATGACCTCATACAAATATTATCATGATATTTGCGCTCCCAAAATATTTCATGACCTTTCATGTATGTTTTGATTGAAATCTCAACATTGTCTTTATAGTCTCTGCCTGCAATGAATCATATGCAGCTATTAATGCTCAAATCATTTGTCAACCCCAGCACTAATTAAACCGTTTGAATACTACGTATCTTCTGGCGTATGCTTCTTGATTTGATGCTAGTTTAGTGAGAGATTTTGAATGTAGGCTTCTGATACGGGACTTTATTGCAGTTTGACTGACACAGTCAAAATTCTTGTTTCATGCTTGTGCATAATAATGTCTATTGTGCATGGGTTTTAGATTTTCTTGCACTTTGAGGTCCTTGATACTTCTCCCTAGAAAGGATAAGCAAGAAAACTTAGAAGTCAAAGATCGTGAATTAACTTCAGTGTGGTTTGTCTTCTGAAATGTTTGGCAAATAAGGATCATAGGATTGCCCAATTTACCTTTCTTGGCTTTAGGAAACAGTAGAGCATGAAAAATATTTCATCAAAAAAATTAAGTTTGTGTACTTTTCAATTTTCTAGATGACAGAAATTTGGGAAACATGTGTGTACTAATCTTTTTTTCTCGGAAACACCTGCTTTTTAATTTTACACCATTAAAAATTGTCCTCCATAGTTGTCGCTTCAGAAAAGAAGGGCCTTGTTTAGTCCCCCTGTTATTTAAACTCAGTGATTTCATTATTTTGAAGACAATCCAAGCGATTGTTTAGTTCCCCTGTTAAAACTCTCTGATTTCATTATTTTGAAGACAATCCAAGCGAGGTCCTTGTTTCTATGTTCAAAAACTATGTACTGAGTTAGTAAACATATGTTCTCAGTTTCTATGTGGGAATGATTTTAGAATAAAGATTTATGCCAGGGATAAAAATGAGATTTTTTTTTCCCTAAAATTGAACACAACCCAAGTCTCTCTGGACATTGTTCCTAAATATTTACTTCTATTTCTGGTTCTTCTCTCTTTTCTTGGCTGCTCATGCATATTAGTTTCTATGAAGCTAGTTTCAAACTTCTTTTCACATACCTTTACAATTCAGTCAATGCTGATCGTTCTTTTCACAGGAAGAAGTTGGTCTTCCTGAGTGCAGTTTGGATGTGGAGCTTAAACCCTGTACAGAAGTAAGTGGAACTAATTCTGGCTCTGATGTGGAGGAGATACAAATGCATGAAGGTGCTTCACGTCTTGGAGAAGATATGCCATTCAAGATTTTTGGTGTTGGTAGTCAAGATTCAGGTGGCAAGAGGACTTTTTGTGAGGAAATATTCGATAGAACATACTGTGATAGAAATAATGTTAAAGTTGGAAGGGACTTGAATGAAGATAATGTGAATCGGGATGCAGAGGCTTTGTCAGAGAAAGGCTCAAGGAAACGACCATATTTGGATCTGTCAGAGACTGTGCCACTTACTTCAAGTAGCATGACTCAAAAAACTCCATGGGATAAGGCTGATGACAATAAGTTAGTAGATGGAGAGAGTATTGGCAAGAAGCTTAAGATGGGTTTCAGTGGACTATATGGGGGAAGTGGTTCAAGAGATGGAAATTGTTTGAGTGGTAGTTTTACTTCTCAGACATGTGATTTGGGTTCCAGCTCCTTGATTGAGGGGAAGAGCTACGGCACAGCATCTGAAGAAAAGGTTATCATGGAGGACCTGGAAGCTAATGAAAGGTACTTCTTTCCTGTGGATCCGCATCATGTCAAGGATATTCAGTTGCTTGATAACTCCATGGCCTGGAACTCATCAAATGTTGAAGATAGATTTCGTGATGGGATTCCAAATCTCGAGCTTGCCTTAGGGGCTGAGACAAAATCCCCAAATAAGGGAATCCTGCCTTTCTTTGGAATGGTAGAGAAAAATAATAACCAGAACAAGCCTCCAAACAAGGTGATGAACAAGGAAGAGGATGATGGTGTCTCTGCTTCCCTTTCCCTTTCCCTCTCATTCCCATTCCCAGACAAAGAACAAACTGTAAAACCAGTTCCAAAAACGGAGCAGCTTGTGCCTGAAAGGCATCATGTGAATACTTCACTGCTCCTTTTTCGGGGCCTTTCAGATAAATAGGGCTATGGTGAGTCACCGTATGTATAGCTTTGTGCCCTGCATGGACGTGGTAAAGTGTCGAATCATACATGATGATGGTCTTCCATGGGCTTTATAGGGAAATCAATTCCATCTGTTCATAAACCCACACAGGAGTTGCTAATAATTTTTCCGTTTTTCTTTTTAGCTCTTTTGCTTTTGGAGTGCATAGTCACGGCTGTTTTGTATATAGAGAGATATTAAGCCGTCACAGTTTTAAAATACCATGAGATATTTGCAACCTCATGATTTTTCTTTGACCTAGATATTTTTTACTTTCTTATTTGCTTCTTGGTATTGGTGCAGTTTTCATAACGAACTTGTTTGTTGCCAGGAAAATGGTAATTGACAGATGATGCTTGTGGTCTCGACTCTTGAGAGGCAGTAGGGTTAAGATAGATCCGCTCCTTCTATTCTCTTTGTGGGATCAATAAGCAGTCGAGGCAGATTATAATTGGAGGAATGCAGGCAAATTTCAAAGAATGCATCTTGTAACTGCTGGCCTAGCGGATGCCTTAGGTAGTTAGCCAACGTTTCGGTACATCATTTATGTGGTGGATTGCTGTGAAATCAGACTCCTGCAGTGATGTAAATTATCTCATGATTCATATGTGCTGGCTCGTGTTTAGCCAGATCATGTACCTGGTACATTGATGGACTGCTTTCAGAGTGCACTGCATGGCAGACTCGGTCAAGTACTACTGTTTACTTCCATGTGTGGATCCTGGAAGCTCACCAGGAAAGGGCTTTGCATGGGAATCGCATAAATCGATGCTTGTACCTGGATTGCTTCACGGCAATCTTCTTAGCCTGGTACTACTCTGGATGTGAAATTTGAAGGTCTGTTGAGGGCCTTGAGGCCATGGTTCTTTCCGAAAGCATGAAGCCAACGCTCCTAACGTGTATATCTCTTGACAGAGAATCTCTGTTTTGTCGCTGGTGCTGGTGCTGGTGCTGTGCAATTCATCTTCTATTCCAGATGGATTCACATCTAGTTATGTTTATTATAGTACTTTGCAGGCTTATGATTATGGATTCCTCAACGAACTCTATTTCAAGCCTACTAAGCCAAATATTACTAAGCATCTCATTTAGAGAAGGCCAATCAAAAATCCATTTTCCCTTGATTAGCTCTAGTATGAGCCCTATTACACTGTTCTGCTAATCCTTGACCTGACGATGTGAATAAGTCAGTTTAAATCCAAAAAAAAAAAAAAAAAGACCAAGATTAGAGAATAATAAAAGAATGGTAAGAGAATAAGATGTAACCGCGTGTCAGCCATAAGATTTGCCAATCTAAGTATTGGAAATCAGCTATAAAAAAAAAAATCTAAATATTGGAATTTTGCTAAAGGCGGCGAACCCAAAGCAATATCCGCTTTGGTCTCAACTGCAGAACTGTCTTTACGTGGATGGGTTCGGAACTTCATCTTTACTTTACCATACTGCCCCTTGCTCTTTTCAAAATAAGAGGAAGTTGAGTTTAAATTTATAAAAAGATAAAGAAACTCAATCTATCTTTATATAATAATCTGAATTTTCAATCTATTTTTTTTATGTTTTTAATTATATTTATTATGTTTTAAAATAATATTTAAGTCTTTAATTTATTTTTCTAATCATTTTTTCAAGACATTGAGCAATTTTTTTTTTTTACCAAAATTTTCCTAACTAAAATGCAAAAAAAAAAAAAAACTTAAAAGTATTGTAATTGTTTATAGATATGCTTTTTAGTATTAGATGATTAATAATGTGTAATGGATCCATCTAGTACAAATAAATAAATAAATCATTAAATATTTTTAAAATTAATTTTAATTATAAAACATTCTAAAACAATATGTTTTAAGTATTTCAATTAACAATCAAATTAATTTTTATTTTTTAATTTTATTTATTACTTGTTTTAATAATGTTTAAGTCTTTAATTTTGTAATAACTCGTCCTAAAAATAAGATTTAAGTTAATAATTATATATTTTTAGGATTAAAGAAAAAAAAAGATAATTGAAGTATTTTAGAGTTTTTATTTAAGTGAGATGGATCATAGTAATAGATTAAAAACAAGTTTAGAAATAAGTTTGAGAGTAAAAAAAAGGCGGCATAGTAGAAAAACGGGACAACTTGTTTTGTCCCTCATTTTCCTTATTCTTCTCCTCTCCCTCACCCAAACTCTCTCTATTTCCTCTCATTCCCTTCCTTCATTTCTAAGATAAAACCTTACCCAATTAACTTATAAAAATCATAAAATAAGTTGATTAAAATGAAGTTTAGCTAGATTAAAGTTTAGAAGGCTTGAAGGTTCTTAGGATTGAAATTGGGGTTGAAAACTCATTTGACAAAGGTAAGATTTTTGATGTTTAGTCTTTAATTTAAGATGTTTATATATGTTTATTGATGATTTTAAGGTTTGATAGTGATGGGTTTGTCTCTTCAATTAAAATTGAGTTAGATTAATGTTAGGGTTTTGAGACTCATTAGAAAAAAATTGATTAAGTAATTCTAATTGATTAAATGATGTTTTTTTTTTTTTTGGATTAGTGATTTTTGAAGTTAAATAGGGTAAATTTGATTAATTTGAGAGGTTGAAGATGATGAATAGTTAATTTTGAAATTTGGATTTTGAATTAAAAAGAATTAGGAAAAAATGAAGAATTAAGTTATATAAATACAATTGAAGAATTGATTATTTAAAGTTTGAATTAAATTTGGAGATTTGATGGTTAAGTAAGTGTTTCACCTAATTAATATTTGAAATGATGTTTATTAGTTATTTTGGAGTTGTTTTACATTAGGTTTGTCATTAATCGAATATTGAGGTGGTTAAGTTTAGGATTTGAATTGAATTTGAGAAATTGATCAATAAGTAAGTATTTATATTAATTGAAGTTTGAAATAAGGTAATGGTGGTGTGAAATTGATAATTGGACTATGGGTTTGAGAAATTTTCAATTTGGTTGGGATGATGAGTTGTAGAGAAAAGATTGTATATGTGAAAATTGATGATGGATAATTATTTGAAGTAAAGTGTAAATTAGATTGCTAGAAAAAGAATTGTTGAATGAACTTGAGATGTAATTGTAGAGTGATTATTTAGAATGGGTTGATAGAGTAAATCTAGTTTAACATCATCAAAGTTGAGTCTTTTCAATAAATTTCATTCTTGTAATTTATCTTGTATTTCGATTCCTAAATAATTCAATTACTTTCGAATTATTGTTTTGTATATGATATTAATGATTATTAAATTATTTTATATCATTAAATTCTTCGAGCGAGTGACTCCATACTATGGACCTTGATTTTGTTTGATCACTCGTTAGTACTTGTGAGTTAATAATATATAGTATATCACTTTTTTCTTTTAATATCTCTATCATGCATCATGGATTTAATTATGTTAAATTCATATTTGTTAGAACCTAGATGGGAATAGACTTCTTATGTAATTTGAAATGATTTGTCATTGAAAATAATTTGATATGGTTATAAGAATGTTTTGGTTTTGTGTTTTGAATAAGAGTTTTACTTAAGGTTTTGATTAAATCCTATGGATCAAATTACTAGTTTGATTATGATTTTATTCATTAACTTAAGTAATTATTTCTTTTATAATTTCAAATATGAGTTTGGATTTGAGTTTAGATTATATTTATGATATTTGATATTGAATTGCATTACAAAATTTGATTATGAGTATAAATTATATTTGAATATGATGGTTTTGGATTATTTTTAGAATATATATAAGTTTATTCAATTTTTAATTTGTTTGACTATCTTGGGATATCTAACTACTAGAGGCATAGCACTGTGAGCTAATTGATACAAAAATGCTTTAGCTAGTAAGAGAGGTGTAATGCTAGCCTATGTGTTGGCCAACACGTAATATACCTAGTCATGAGAGGGCGTGGCCTTTGGATATTCACATCCAATGATACGATATGATTTGATTATCCCGAGTGTAGTTTTGATACGTATATAATCTAATTTGATTATAAGTATTTTGATATGAGATTTCAATTATGGTTTGGGATGATTTAATAATATAAGATATGATTCGATATTTAAGATAAGTATGTATATGACTTTGAAAAATATACATTGCATCTTAAAGAAGTTTTAAGTTATCTACCGTTTGTCCATTTCTCTTCCTCGGTTATGTTATATGTTATCTACTTACCAAGCCGTTGTTTTGCTCATATTCCACCATTTCAATTTTACAAGACTTGTGAGATCTCTTGTTGCCTTCCACCAAGCTATTTGTCTTGAAACCGATACATTGATTTACGACTCATTTACTTATAATATTCTAAAACTTGTATTTTGATTTTATTGTACTCTAGAGCTCCGTAGTTATACTCTAGTGTTATGAAATTTAAATTACATTGAAATTATAAGGAATTGACTAGTGAGATTGTGATATTTTGATTTTTTTACGGATTTTATAGTTAAAGTTTAGATATTTGAGGCTTTCTTGAGTCGAGGTGGGTCCTACGATTCTCTAAATTCTCATACCAGTCATGGCCCACTTCTAAGGCCATGACAATGTTAGTATCAAAGCATAGGTTTCGGTTCTAGGATAATTATAGAGCATAAGGCTTATTTTAATCTATATATTTGCTTTGAATTATCATATTTTGTTAGACTAATATAATAAGGTAGTGTATTTTAGGAATCTCGGAGAAAACGAGTTTTTTTTTAAAGAAAAACAAAATGTAGCTCCCTTTAACCTCATATCTACTATTAAGGCGTATAAGATGATAAAAAAGGAGTGTGTAGCTTATCCGGCATATGTGAAGGAGACGGATGATAATGTGGTTAGTTTGAACTAATTCTCGGTCGTTAGAGAGTTTTTCAATGTGTTTTCAAATGAATTGATTGGTCTAACTCCAAATAAAGAGATAGAGTTTGGTATTGAATTACTCCTAAGGCACTAAACCTATCTCCATACCTTCCTATCGGATGACACCGGTAGAGTTAAAGGAGTTAAAGGTTCAAGTTCGGGACTTGTTGGATAAGAGTTTTATCCGACCGAGTGTTTCTCTGTAGGCCACTCGTGATTTTGTTTGTTAAAAAAAAGATGGTAGTTTAAAGTTATGTATTGATTACCACCAATTGGATACGGTGATTATAAAGAATAGATATCCATTATCGAGGATTGATGACTTGTTCGACTAGTTGCGAGGTGCGAATGTTTCTCCAAAATTGATTTGAGGTCCATGTATCATTAGTTGAGGATTAAGAGGGAGGACATTTTTAAAACTACTTTTAAGACACGGTATGACAATTATGAATTTTTGGTGATGTCGTTTGGCTTTACTAATGCTCTAACGAGCTTTTATGGACTTGATAAGTAGGGTGTTTCATTGTTTTCTTAGCAAGTTTATGATTATGTTCATTGTTGATATTTTGGTGTACTCTAAGAATGAGAGAAAACATGAAAATAATCTAAACCGAGTGTTATAGACATTGATGGAACATAAGTTGTATGCCAAGTTTTTGAAGTGTGAATTTTGGTTAAAAAGTATGGCATTCCTGTGACACATTGTGTTTAAGGAAGGGATTATGATGGACTTAAAAAAAGTAGAGGTAGTAACTTATTTATCGAGACCTATTTCAATGAGTCGAGATTTATAGTTTTTTATGTTTAGCCAGGTATTATCAAAGATTTGTGGAAGACTTCTCAAGAATTATAGCATCGTTGACTAGGTTGACTTAGAAGAATGTGAAGTTTTAATGGTAAGATAAGTGAGGAAAGCTTTTAAAAGCTAAAGATATGTTTGACCATGACACCAATCCTTACCTTACCCTCGAAAAGTGATGGATTTTTAAGGTTTTAGAATGCCTTGAGAGTAGAGTAAGAATATGTGTTGATGCGGCATGGTAGGATAGTAGCTTATGCTTCGAAATGGTTAAAGAAGCGAGGGCGAACTACCTTATACATGACTTAAAATTGGCAATAGTGGTTTTTACTTTAAAAATTTAGAAGCATTATTTGTATGGAGAGATTTGTGAAGTCTATATAGATTATAAAATTCTAAAGTGTATGTTTAATTAGAAGTATCCGAATTTAAAATAGAGGAGGTGGATAGA